AGTGGGCAGAGTGATGTGTCAGCTCAGAAAGCACATTCTGCCTTGGCCTGTACTCTGGAGGGAAGTGCTTCCAGGAATACACTCTGCCCTGGCCAGGCCACAGCCCAATTAGGCTCCGTTCTGGGCGCCACTGCTGAGGAAGGAAACTGATAAGCTGGACAGAAACCAGGATGGTGAAAGGCCTAGAGTCCATTCAATAGGAGGCCAAGTTGAGAACTGAGGCTGCCCAGCTGAGCCCAGTGTCTGGCCCGTGGTAGGAGCTTAACAGGTGCCTGGTTGATTGACTGACTGAGAGAAGGCTGGGGGAAGGGCCCGAAAGCCAGGTAGAAGAAAGGTGGGACTAGCAATGCAAAGAGGCAAATCAGGCTTGTGGGTAGGAACAACCTCCAACCAATGCGAGCTGTCCCCAAATGGTGTAGGACTGCCTCAAAGGAAGTGGGGAGGCCTCTTCTTGGAGGCCTTCAAGCAAAGGCTGGATGACGACTTGCCATATAGGTTATAATGGAGATTCTTTCCATCAAATGAAAGGAGCACTAGAGATTCTAAGAGGCAGAGGTGAGGAAGGAGGGAACCTGGAGATGGGAGAACGGGGATGAGAAAAGTGCCATGACGGAGGAACAGTAGGAAGCCAGTTTGCCTGGACTTAGCATGTATAAATGTAATGAGGATGGAAAGAGAGGTTGGGAGCGGGTGGTGAAGGGCTTTAAATGACCCAAAGAGGGGTTTCTATTGGATCCCACAGCAATGCGGAAGCAATGCAGCTTCCTGAGCAGGGGAGGCACCTGGGAAAATCACCTTGGTGGTGGTGTGGAGGACAGACTGGAATGGAGAAAGCCTAGAGGCAGGCACACCAGTGAGGAGGTTACTCCAAGCAGGTCGGAGAAGTCCCAAGAGCCTGGACTAGGGTGGCAGCTGCGGGGCTGGAGAGGAGGGCCCAGGGGCTGAGTCTTGAAACAAGAGTGAGAATGTGGCAGTGGAAGCCACAAGGGAAAAAAGCTTTTTTTCCTAGGAAGGCTGTGAAAGGAGAAGAGATGCAGGCCAATAGCTCCAGGGGGCAATGGTGTCAAGAGAGGGCCTGGACGTGTGTGGAGGCCACATCTAAAGAGACAGTGGATGAAGAATGAAGAGTGGAGAGAGGGAGAAGACAAGGAAAGGGAAAAGCTTGCAGAGGAGGCTGGAGTGAAGAGGTTCAAAGACACAATTAGAGGGCTTGGTCTTGGAGAAAAGGACCATTTTCTTCCTCAGACTGGAGCAAAGGAGAGAAAGGGGGATGATTTTGAGAGTTAGAGGACATGAGTTCCAATCCTGACTACATGTATGCTTTTGGGCAAGTCCCTTCCCTTCTGTGGGCCCTACTTTAGTCCTCTTTAAAATGAGGGCATAAATCAGTCTATAATTGAGAGTCCTTTTTGGTTCTAGATCCTATGAGGTTCCCTGCCTCGTGCCCTCATACAGCCTCTTCTTTTTGTCCAGCCATGAGAGGCTGGCATTGGCTTGAAGCCCCAATCTCCAAGGAAGCCTTATTTGTAGAGACAAAGGGGAAAAGTGAAATCAAGCGGGATGGAGACATAGGAACTTGGTGCCCCATTCCTGGTTCTGCTCCTAACTCTATGGCCTTGGGCAAGTCACTTAACCTTGACCGGCCTCAGGTTCCTTATCTGTAAAAGGGGGATTAGAATACCCAAAGGATCACTGGCAAATAGGATCAGCTCCTGGTAAACCTCAAAGTGCTGCAGAAATGGGAAGAGTTATTATTGTTATCATTAGCTGACCTCTAAGGTCACTGTTGGTTGACACCCTACAGTTCTATTTTTGGAGGTAAGTTTCCCCTTTTTTCCTTGAGCATCCTGGGGGGAAGGGAGATACTGGACAGAGTACTAGAGGTAGAGGCAGCACGCCTCAGCTCACATCCCAGTTCTGCTACTAAGCTAAGTGACCCTGGGTCACACTCTTCCTCTCTCTGAGCCTCAGTTTCCTCATCTGTAAAAATAAGAGGTGGGAGTAAAAATACTAGGGTGGGAGAGGGGAGCAGTTTAGTAATTGCAAAATGACCCAGAATATAAGCAGAGAAAAGAGAAGGGAAGGAGGAAGGGCCCGAGAGCCTAGATAAACACTGAGTGAGAGGAATGGCCTGCAGACTTCCCAGGGCACAGAGCTTCACCCTATTTTCCATCTGAATGACATGGTCATTGTATCCAGCCTCATTTCCTTCCAGGCCAGGTTCATCTGTGGAACGGATGCCCAGAATTTGGGTCTAGAGTAATCTGAATATTTCTGCTGCTCACTGGTAGGATTTTCCTAACAGCACATATTCATAGAGGCTTTAAGGTTCCAGACTGGCATGTATACATGACCTCTTTTGAGCCCTGCAGCAGTGAGATAGCTAGGACAGCATCACACCATCTTACAAATGGGCAGAGTCAGTAAAGTGACTTGGCCGAGGTCACAAAGCAAAGACTGAGTTGGGATGAGTAGCCAGTTCTCCTGACCCCCCTTTCCTCCTCTGGAGCACTTCTGGGCAGAGGCTGGGTAGGGAAGGGTGGAGACCATTGATGAGAGTTCAAGGTGGGGGGTCCGTTCCCCTGAAAACTAGCTGTGGTCTAGTCAGTTCTTCTTGCCGGAGATTCCCAATCCCTTGCACAGGCTCATATCATATTACCAACTCAGGAAGGGCATGTGCAGAGATAGCTGAGCTCCCCCCTGCCCGCCCACCCCAGCCAGGTTGGTGCAGCTAAGCATCTAAATGGACCACCGTAAGTGGCTTCAGCGCTGGCACCATCCATCGTTTGGGCTGCCAATCCAGGGTAAGATGCTGAGAAAGTGTTAATATGGATGCAGATGCAGGTATAGTTAAAGCCTGCCCAGCTGAGGTCACAAAACGAATAGTCAGCCCTGATTCTCCAGCACAGGATTCAGCATGTGCTGTTGGATAGCTGGAAGAGAGCTCAGAACATAACCCTTTAGTGGGAGTAGGCCACTGAGGCCCAGAACTCCCGGCTTGTGCAGGATCCCCCTGTACAGATGTGACACCCAGGCCAGTCCTGCCTCTGTATTAAGAGAGAGCCACACGTCAAATGACCCTGTGCTAGTTCCCCAGTTTCTCTTCCCAGGCCCCTCAGTGCCAGGGCCAGGTCCTCCCCTCCCAGATACATAGTGACTCCAAAGGCTGGGAAAGGAGGGCAAGAAGGGGGAGCAAACACCCACTACGAGAGCGATGAGGCAGGCAGAAGCCTAACCCTGGAGAGGCTCAGAGTCAGTCTGCTGTCTGGAATTGTAGCCCTAGTCGTCCTGGCCTTCAGTTTGACGGTGGTTGGGAAAAGCAAGGTTTGGGAGAGCTGGCCTGGGTCTTAGGCAGTCACTGAACACTGTCTAGGGTCTGTCTGTGGGGAGCTACAGAAGAAAGAAACATGTTTTCTCACCATCAACTCCAGAGTCCAAGGCTCTCCAGGAGTCAGTTCCTCATTGACAGGGAGCCAGAAGAAAAGGGAGAAGAATCAGGCAGGGCTTGCAAACTTGCTAGGGGTTAATAGTGAGGAGGAACCGTATGCCCACTCTGCCTCAGCAAAGCTGCCATGTGAGAATGCAGCACAGTGACAAAAACTTGTGGGGAATCCATTTTCTAAGCCCAGAGAATGGGTGCTCCGAAGGACCAGCATTGTGGAATCCTGGAATGCTAAAATGCCAGGGAAAGAGTTTCTGGCTTGTGGAGGTTAGGAGCGTCACATGGGCCTCAGGACAAGTGGACTCACTCCCTGTATCCAGAATGGTACCACCATATCTTCCACTAGAACCTTCTATTTGTCTCCATCATTGATACTAGGTGAACAAGATTGGCCCCATTTTGCATACTGAGAAATTGAGGCCAAAGAGATTCAGGATGTTGACTACTGCCAGGCCCAGGAAGGCCTGGCCCTTAATAAATTTGTATTGATTGGCTGATAATGGGTTTGCTACCCTAAAGAAATCCCTCTTTATCCCGGGAACATAAATGGTCCTGGGGAAGCCATAGGCTCCCACTGTTTAAAAAACAGGCTCGAACCAGGGACCTCACTTTTATTTTTGGCCAATCCAATAACCCCAAAGCAGGTCCTGTGACTCTTAAAGCCACATCCTACAGGAGAATGGGAGGCTCATAAACAGGGCAGCTGGACCAGTGGCCAGCAAGAAGGGGGGGGGGGATTGGAGAGGGAAGATTTAATGAACTACTAGTAGACAAGAGAAGGCAGGGAACAAAAGGGTTATTCTTCTTTTATGGCAGCCCAAGGCTGGAATGCTGCCTTCCTCATGGCCTGGATGAGAGAGAGGGAAATCAGGGCCAGCAGCATGACAGAGATAGCTGAAAAGTGCATTGTGCAGGGGGCCCAGATAGGGCTACAAAATGATTCCGCCCTGCCTGGGGGAGATTCAAGGCCAAGGACAACTAAGAACCTGGGCTGGGCTGGGAGGATAAAAGGGGGCTATGCAGCCAGGAGGCTAAGAGCTACAGACTCTAGGAAAGGGACAGGGTTCAGATCTATCCCCTTCCCACCTTGCTGGTCTAGGATACATACACTGGGGCCACCCAAGCACCTCATGAGTGATCTAAGAAAAGCTCAAAGGGGAAGGCCCAGTAGGCAGGGACAAAGGGCAACCCAAAGAGGAAAAGATGGCTTCAGGCAGGACCCAGAAAGACTGAGATAGAGAAGGAACAATATTTTGGAACCTCAGAGGTACTGGTTAAAGTCACAAGAAGAAACAGCATTAGGTCACCCCATGAGGAAAGCCAAATGGGCCCATTGCTAACCCCCATCCCCCGCCCCCAACCAACATTTGGCTGCAGGTGAACAGACACATGACGGTACAGGCCTAGTCCCTGTTGGTCAATGATGATACGAAGGGACAGCACACAGGTGGTGATGAACAAGTGTTCTCCATTTCCACTGAGTGCAGGACAAGAGGGAACAGTTTGAAATGTAAGCAGGACAGAATGATGAGAGGTCCTGACAAGACTATCTTCTTACCTTAACTGCAGTCCCATATCTTCTCCACTTGGGTGTCCTTCTCTGTGCCTGCTTCCTTCAAGGCCCAACTCAGAAGTAACCTTCTTTCCTGGTCAGCACAGCCTACAGGATGGCTCTCCCCCTTCTACAGCACTGTCTATTGTCTGTTCTACTCAGTGGACACCTATAATACAAAACTGCCTTGGGACTGAGGGTAGTTTTACGTGTGTGTGTGTGTACTGTCTTCCCCCCAGATTGTGAACTCCCCCTCTCCACAATAGCTGTTCAAGTGCCCCCCAAGTCTTCTAAGGCTAAACATCTCAAGTTCCTTCACCTGATCCTTACACAGCATGATGCTAGATAGCATGGTTTGAATCCTTTCCTGAGAGCCCTCTTTGGATTGGGCTCTAGCTCTTCAGGGCCTAACCTCAATGCTCCAGACTTGGTCTGACCAGAAGAGGGCAGAATGTCTTCCCCCTGCCTCATCCTGGACACTGGGCTTCTGTCAAGGTACCCCAAGACTGTCCTCATTTGGGGGGCAGCCACTGCAGACTCCTACAGAATTTCCCATGACCTACCTGCAAGCTGTACCTCTCTTCCTCAGACTGTGATGCTGATTTTTAAGGCAGTTTAGACCCTGCCATTAATTCCTCTTAGGTGTGCCCCCCATACATGTTGAGATCTCTTTGGGTTTCCACACTGTCACCGTGTTAAGGAGCCCATCCAGCTCACCAGCATCTCCAGATCTAATGAGTATTCCATCTGTGCCTTTACCTACAGTCACTGATTAGAATATGAAACAGAGCCTGGCTCTCCCCTTCTTGTGGGTCTCTCTGCAAAGAGCCTGGAGGCCCTCAAGAGAAAAGTATTTTTACCCCAAAATGACATCATAGCAGACTAAGGTATCATCCCCCCCAAGAGGCCTTTTCATTTTATGGTTTTAATTAATATTATTAATAACAACTCACATATATAAAGCACTTTAGTGCTCACATCAAGAAACTTGTAAAGTGTCATTACTCTCAGGAACTAAGGTTCAGAGGGGTTAGTTACCTGTGGTCACATCCTCACTGGTGCAAGAGACAAGTCTTGGGTCCCACGAAGTAACTGGGGATCCCCTCTAGAGAATCTCCCAAACCTAGGAAATGATTTTCTTTCAGAAGGCTCTCCCAACCTCCCCCTCCCCTATTCTGTACCTTCCTCTAGGCTGTATTAATTTAATGGCCTTATTTACCTGGGAGGGAAACAATGTATACACAGATGAATAAATACAATGCAAAGTGCAGATGTGGTAATTAGTCAACATCAAGTCACTGAGCCACATAACGAAGAAGAGGGGTCTGCAGCTTCTGCTCTAGCAAGATACAGATTCCCCCTTCTCTGACCAGATGGGCTGGGCAGGATAACCCCAAACTCCCCTTGATCCCCCCCCAATTTACCTCTCCCCACACTCTTTGTCTTTCCTTATCCTTTCACCAACCAGATGGAGACAGGTAGGAGGCCAGCTGGATCCACTCAGCCTTTGATTCACTGGTCAGTCTGTAGGGAAGATAGGTTGTTAAGGTACTGCTGCAGGACTAGGCTAAGAAAGCTCCCCACCCCCCACCCCAACAGGACTAAGGATTTCCAATAGAATGGGACCTTAGAGAAGGTGAGGCCAGGCCTCTTGTTTTACAGGTGAAGAGATTGCCCAAGTTTACACAATTAGTAAAAAGCAGGGCTGAGATTCCAAACCAAACAACCACGAGGATGACCGGGGAGCCGCCTTTGGGGTGAGAGGCAAGACAAGCCAAAGAGTCAGCAAAAGCCAGTATGGAAAAGCGTGGGAAGGGTAGAGAGATTCTGCTACACATTCAGCTACTTATCTCTCCTCCTCAAATGATGTGCCTAGAGGCCAGCCAAAGAGTAAACTTCATGGAAAAAAAAAGTAGGCAGTGGCCTCACAGCTTGGGGCCTTGGCCATAATCTCCATTCTGCTGCCCATTTTGTTCCCTTTGTGGCCTGGAAGAGGGTACAGGTGATAGGGGCGGGGCCCAAGCCAAGATCTTCACCCTTTGCCCCAAAGGGAATCTGACTCACAGGCCCCAGACCCTCATCTCCCTTGAAAGCCCTAGCTTACCTTTAGATCTTATTCAGAGGCACCTTCAACCCTTGCCCTGAATAGAATCTGGCTCCTGTTTGTCTACAGGACCCAGAAAAACCCTTAAACCTTCAAATTTCCTAATTGACTCCCCTCATCTCCCTTTGAAAGCCTTAGGCTCCCTCTTGTCTATAGGCCCCAGAAAGGCCTTCCTTTATCTCCTTTTGAAAGTCCTAGCCCCACCTTGATTTTGTGCAGATGCCTTTCAAACTTCTGCCTTCCTGTTCCCTCCATTATCTATTTCCATTGTCTATTCAATCTCTCTGACCTCCTCAATTAGAATTCTTACCTAGACCCTTTCCCCAACCCCCTTCTCTGGCCACTCAATGTTAACTTTAGTATTTAAGATCCACCTTGGCCCTCATTCAGATGCTGAGAATCTCATGCTCAAAAGGCTGAGAACCTCTCATGCCCGCTCATCTTTACGGGCGTCACCCGGCTGAGAATCTCACGCTCAAAAGGCTGAGAACTACTCATGCCCGCTCGTCTTTACGGGCGTCACCTAGTCAATGTGATTTATCACTAATAAACTTTTTCTCTGGCTGAAGAAGATTTGAGTTGAATTCATTCAGCAGGGCCCGGTACCGCAATCTTGGGGTCCCAGCACCCCAAAATCCCTAGACCTCTTCACAGGGAAGGGGAAGATAAAAGAAGAGAAACCTGTACACTTCCCTTCCTCAATGGGGGAGGAGGCTGGAAGTATTGGTTAAAATGATGCATTTTATTCTAAAAGATGGAAAAAAGTCTTTATGAGAATACAGAAACACTAATTCAGTGCTGATGGAGTGGTGAAGTGGTTCAGTTATTCTGGAAAACAATTTAAAATTATGCAAAGTCACAAAATTTGACTTTGGCGGTCCTCTACTAGGACAATCACCCAGATTCACAACTACAAACATGTTCAGAACTGCAATATCAGTGATAACAAAAACCTGGAAATAAAGTGTCTCACGGCTGAACAAATTGTATCTAGGAATATAATGTAAAGTAATTAAATTGAAAACATGCAAAAAAATCACCGTGAGGAGACAACAAAACTGAGTCTGCACAATGTTCCATGTCAGCATCATCCCCGCCCAAGGTTAAAGGACACATTCTGCCCTTGATCAAATGGTTTTCAGAAAATCTACTTTGTGAGTTTGTGGGAGAGGAGCTGTCTGGGTACTTGTTGGGAAGGGTCTTTTATGTCAAAGCAAAATGTATCAATAACTTCTCTAAAACAATTGTAAAAATAAGAGAAAGAATTTGTACTGTTGGGGGATTTTACTTATCCAGGCACTCGCTGGGGGCCCAAAATACCCATTAAGTGAGAATTCACCCTAAGCCCTCAGCTTCAGATTGGGCTGCTAGGCTCCAAGCCAATGAAGCAACACAAGTCCAAAAGAATAGATCTCCTCTGAGATCCAAGTCCCTGGTTAGTCCATATCTGCCACTCACCAGGGGTGTGAAAGTCCCTTACCCTTGCAGAGAGGGCAGCTTCCTCACTAGGAAAATGAAGGGATCAGATCCAGTAGGAATGGTCTAGGAGAGGATGTGCATGGGGGAAAGGGACACCTGTGGGATGGAGGATCTAAGCGAGGCCTGGGAGTATTCTGAACTGTGAGAGTCAGGTAAAGGTTAAATTTCCACAGAGAAAGAGAATAATGCAGAGATTTAAAGAACAAAGGTCCCAGGAAGTGGTACACTGTAGGTGGGCTGGGCTTGACCAATAGGAAGTAAGTGGATTGTTCCAAGACCCCAAAATCAAGATAAGGGTCAAGCCAGCTCAGACCCGTTGGGGTCAACCTGAGGACACCTGAAAAGTGCTAGTGCGCCTGCTTAATGAGCTTCATTACTATTATCTGACACACCCCGCATAAAATTGGAGCCTCATTAACGAGTCATGGGATGTATGACCAAGGGAGGGGGAACATACTTGAGCATATCAAGGGGAAACATGTAAGGAAAGGTGTAACCTGGGAAGGGATGGACCAATCCTGGCCTGGGAGGTTTCGCGCCGAATTCAACTGCATAAAAGCACACTTGCCCTTACACTCAGGGCCCACCCCTCCTGGCCAGAAATGTCTAAATCCTCTGGACTTTCTTTATAATACATTTTCTTGATGCTAAATTTTTGGTGTCAAGTCTATTTCTAACAGAACCTACAAAGCTAAGAGGCTGCCATGGCAACAGATGAAGGTGGGCATCAGGCCAGGGCCTTTACCACTCTCAACTCTCTCCCTCTACTCCCTCCCCCCCCAACACACACAGAGCACAGAATGTCTGTACCAGGGGAAGAGAAGCCAACTCTTTTCTCAAGCCTTCCATCTTTCCCACAGTGAGCTTAGTGAACAACAGCATCCATTGAGCCACCTGCCCCCTCTCCTGGCATAAGGCCTCCCCAAAAGGCCCCTGTTTATCCTTCCAGCCTTACATTGGGCATAGGGGTCTCTTCAACTCTTTTATCTGAGGACACCACAGAAATACAGGGCTCTGTCAACTTTTTAGGTAGAACTATAAAATGCTAGAGCTGGAAATGACCTTAAAACATACAATCTAGAACATCAGAGCTAAAAGAGATAGTCCAAGACCCTCACTTTACTGAGGAAGAAACCAAGCCACAGAAAGGAGGAAAGATTTGTCAAAAGTCACAGAGCCCAGAGTGGAAGGTGGGTCTTCTGATCAACTCTTACCACCCTGATTTAGCCTTAGTTTGCACTTGGCCTGGGATCAGCTCAGCTTCTCCTGAAACACTCGAACCTCAAAGGAAAAGCTGAAGTGGGAGGGAGGGGTTGAGAGGTTTGTCATTGCCACAGTCAACCACAGGATCTCAGGTTGGTCAAGGACCTTAGGGGCCATCTAGTCTAACCTGTGACTGAACATACATAAATCCTCTCTGCTTCTACTCGAAGGCCCTCAGTGACAGGGAACCCATTACCTCCCAAACAGTAAGCAGAGGTATCCAAAAGTGGAATGGCCTATCAAAAGGGATTTGAAAGAATCCTTAGTCTGGTTCTGGAACTGTCTTGAGCATGATAATGCTTCTTAATAATATGAGGCACTTGTCACCAAATTAAACTCAGCAAGCATTTATTAAGTGCTTACTGTGTACCAGGCCCTGTGAAACAAAATAAATAGCGGCATAGTCTTTGTCCTCAAGGAGCTTACATTCTCCTGGAGGGAAACAATGTATGCACAGATGAATAAATACAAAAAAAGATCACAGATTTAAAGTGGGGAGAGACCTCAGAGGCTACTTAGGCACACAAGCCCTCATTTTACAGATAAGGAACCTGAGGCGAAAAGAAGTTAAGGGACTTCTCCAAGCTTACAAGGCAATGGGGTGGGGGTTGGGGGATAACTCCTAACCACTGACGGAAATCAGAAGAGGCCTCTACTGCAAAGTGGCAACTAAGCGGTATGCTTTGAAGGGAGCAAGGGATTCCAGGAAGCAAAGATGGTGAGGGGGCACATTTCAACCTGCACGAAGCCATGAAGGTGGCAGCTGGAATGTGTGAAGGAGAGTGATGTGCAATCAATCTGGATCTTCCATCTTGGAACTAGCTTCAGCCCAGGGCTGCATCACCAAAGGGGACCAAGAATTGACACAATTCTCAAGAGCATTTAAAGCCAAAGGACTTCGTGGGAGTGGGAAATTTTGAAACTTCTCAAACAGTGTTTTCTTCACAACACAACTCCGAGTTTCAAAATTTCCCCTGACTGTAATCTCCACGAGGGCAAGGGTCATCTTTTATCTACACTCTGCATCCTCTCCACTGCTTAATACTGAATTAGCCCTATTTTACAGATAAGGAAATGGATGCCCAGAGAAGGTGACGTGACTTAATGAAGGACATAAACATAGAGCAAGCAGCAGAGGCCAGATTGAAATCCTAGTTCTCTGACTCCAAATCCAGCTGTCCTTGTATGTTCCCCTTTGCAACTGGGGCATGAAGGGTACTTAATACAGTTTTGAATGAAATTTATTGGGCTAAAAGCCCACTCTACAAATTCCCATCTGTCCAGTGGTGAAATCAGCAAAGATTCCACTGGCAGAGGAGAGTTTGGGGGCTCTGAATGGGGTCCTGAGGTGCAGCTAACCAGCCTGCCACCATTGCTTTCAGCTGCTGCCTCCGCCACTGACTAGCTGGCTGTGACCTTAGGACAAGCCACTTAACCGCTATGAGCCACTTTCCTCATCTGTCATGTGACCACATTCATACTTAAAATCTCTATAAACTACAGCGCTGTTATGAGGGAAATGTTTTATAAGCCTTACATTGCCACAGAAGTGGGAGTTATTACTTTTTATCTGTCTCGCACATTTCCAGATAAAAACCAGGAAATTCTTTTTCTTTCTAGAAAGATCACATCTATCCACAAATGATCCGAGGCTGGCAGGGCTCACTGAAGTCACATC